CGATTGAAAACGCCAACCGCGCCCTCCGCCGCCGCCCGCTCCGCGCACTCCGCACCTCAGAATTTGACTTCAGCACTGCGCCTCCTCTGAGTCTCGGTATGCATTACTCTTTCCTCCTGGTTGTAGGACTTCCACTCAGCCAGCGTTCCTGTGGGTCTGGGTGATGTCCGTTCCGTCTTTTAGTTTCACTTTTGAAGTGGTTGTTCGAGGCAGCAAACTCCGGCGTTAACCTATGCCGCCATCTTGGTTCTCCTGTTTTGGATTATTCTTGATTTTTCTCTTACTAATAGAAAAAATGAGGATTCACTTTTTAAAGGCACTGTTTAAATATTATAGGTCCTCAAAAGCAACTCTTTATAATAAATTGAATAATCATGTTATTGATCAGAAAATATTTTTATCTTGTCTAAATTTCTTTTACTTATTTTAGCAAGTAGGGGGAAATTTTATATTATAAACTTTATCTCATTTATGAATGCTGAAGCCACTTTCCACATGTAACCACTGTGAAAGCTACAAAGTAGTCTTTCAGAAGTTCATTCATAAATTAAGTACTTGGAATTTGGAAACGATCTCCTTCAGAAGCAGGCTCTTTAGGGTGGCTGCATTCTGGTACTTGCAGCAGATCCTTTGCAGCCACATTGTCTAATACAGCGGTTCTCAACCTGTGGGTTGCGACTCCTTTGGTGGTCGAACGACCTTTTCACGGGGTTGCCTAAGACCATCCCGCATATCAGATATTTACATTACGATTCATCACAGTAGCAGCATTACAGTTATGAAGTAGCAACGAAACTACTTTTATGGTTGGGTCACAACATGAGGAACTGTATTTAAAGGGCCAGAAGGTTGAGAACCACTGGGCTAATAGGTTCTAATTGTCACTTGCACAACTGGAGAAAATCTGCCTGTGTTTACTGTGGCCTCTGTGTTAGTAACTCAGGCCTTGGCTCCTTACCAGGTTGCCATCTTGCACAGGCCAATTCTTTTCTACTCATTAATGTTAACTGTTTGGCAGAGTTGTATAATTCATTTACAAAAATCAAGGAACATAAACATAACTTCTATTGAGGAGACCTCTGCTGTGGTAGGTGCATTTAATTCTCAAAACATCCTTAAGAAGGAGGTGACTTCCTCAGTTTATAGGTGAAGTAACAGAGCCTTAGAGGGCCATGGCCATACAACTGATAAATAGCAGAGGTGGAATTTGTCCAGTTTTAGAGTTTAGCTTTTTTTTTTTTTTACCATATTATGCTACTTCCCTGAAAAAAATGATGACAATGACTACAAGGATAATAGTATTCATAATAATAACAGCCAATCCTTTTCAAAAGGCTTACTGTGTGCCACAGGTTATCTTTTTTAATCTTCACCATAATCAATGAAACGTGTACCATAGAGTAGCTTTAAAAAGAAATGGAGACCCAGAGAGGTAAAGTGACTAACCTAAGTCATTGATATTTTAATATTTTAAAAGGAAAAACTTGGAATGTAAATTTTTAAAATTTTTTCTTTGGCTTCCTGAATGTATTATGCTGTAGCGCCTTTGAGTAATTTGAAGCTCTTTGGAATCTTATTTTCATTAAATCATGTCTATATATATTTTCTTTTTCTTTTCAAATGTGTACTTTTTAATAATAAGAATTTCATTATTTTTATTTAAATTGTTATTAACCTGCATTCTGAGCACAAGAAAGAGAAATTGTACAGAGAAATAAAAACCAAAGTGTTATAAAATACTGTCATTAAGGCACGAAACTGGTATTTGAGTGGATATTCATTATTAAAGCTCTAAACTATACAACCCCTTTGAGAATTAACTATTTAATAACATATTTATAAATGTATTAACACAAAAAATGTTATGAAGTTATTATTTGATATTACTATAGAGCTATAAAGTCCTCAAAGTCAGGTGATGAACATGTAAGTGAAAAATACAATAACTAAAAGAAAGATCCTCTAGTAACAGACCATTAGTAAGCAATTTTGCCTTTCATGCAGCACATTCAGAGAATTCAAAGAAATTAAGGATTAATCAAAATAATTTTTTAAATCAACATTTTCCCATGTGGGACAAATAATGCCAAGGAATAACAGAACTGCCCAAACCATTCACATGAGCATTTATTAATCCTTTTAACTACCTATTAATAATAGACATGCTCAAAAGAAAATATAGAATAACCATTGAAACAGAAAAGGGAAAAACAAACGTCAAATATTCCTTAAACAAAGGGCAAATCGTATCAAAAATGCTATCTCAAGAAAGAATTGCAATCACTGTTACTCATTATCTGCTGCATTAAAGTTTCTATCACCAAGATTACGTAAGGCCTGCATACCAAGTGCAGCTACAGCAGATGCAGTCATGTGATGCTTCTAAGTGGACATTCCCATTTCTCACCAGCAAGGAGGCACTAGCACTGAGCACTGCAGCCTGGGAAGGGGGGCGGGACTGGCCTTTGACCTGGGCTGTGGACTGCTGGCCTTCCTGCCCATCTTGAAGGCGCCACTGACTGCATCTTGCTCTTCACCTTCAGGAAATGCAACTTGGTGTGGCAAGCTATTTCTAGATTGAGTGACTGTCTCTAACTGGGAAGCCCGTCCCAGTAAAGATAGCTCATCTAGCACCTCTCCTTCTTTGGCCTCGAGGTCTGATTTTGAAGTGGTTAAAGGTTTTATATTTCCGGGTGCCATTAGCCTATTGGAGTCATTCAAACATGCTACTGTGCTACTGTCCAGACTCAGAACTTGGGCCGAGTTTGGGACTATTTGTGCTAGAAGTCCGACGTGTTGTCCACTTTTTGCCAGTTTCTTCAGGATCCAAATGAGCTTTGTGTGTGTTCAGTCAGTGCCCTTTTCTTTAGTGACAAAATCATGTCTATGTTAATAGTAATATATCTTTTAATTGGTTTGATAGCTTTAACATTTTTTCCACTACTGCTTTGATTCATAGTGTACACTACCCCTTGAGGATATTCTCATTTAGGAAATGAGGACACAGACCTCCAGAATAATTGTTTGCCTAAGGTCTTCTATCAAATCAGAAGCAAATCTAGGACAGGAGCTTAGACAGTTTTTGATTTTAGGTCATGTAGCTGCTTTTATCTTGAAATGCCTTGTGTCCACGTGTTGGGTTGTTAAACCTGTTGTATGAGATGATTTGTCCAGAAGGATCTTGCTGTGTTTTTTTCTGATTTCTCTGAGAAAACTAGGTCTCTGGAAATTCTGTAGTTGGAAGGGCAGGAAAGGATCCTTATGGTTGATCTAATTTCTGCTTTGAGAAATGATCACATAAAATATCTATGCACCGCTCCCTTATTTTTTTAAAAGATTTCACTAGAATTTGTTGATAAGTTTGAAATGTTGGCAGCATTGAACATTAGGATAAACCTGAATTCATTTTAACGTGACCCTTGTTTAAAACCTGACAGTCTCCATGTGTTCTCACCTTGCTTATTTGATCCTCCCAAGAAGCCTGTGGGATGGAGAGGACAGATTGTGTCTTCCTTTCCCTTCTCTAGTTAAGGACTCTGTTTCCTTGTTTAATTATGTTACCAATTCAAAGAGAGTTCTGAGTTTTCTATTTCATTGGGTGTTATCTGAAGTGTTACAACTGAAAGGAACCTTAGAGATCGTTTATTTTAATCTCTTCATTTTACAAATGGAGGAAACGGGCCTAAAGAGACAAAAATCACTTGCCCAAGGTCATTTAGGCAGATAAAGCAAAATCAAGAACTGGAACCCAGCTTTCCTGATTTCCAGTCCCTGTAAGAACCACAAGTATAATTTGCATTACAAGTAAAATTAGGCCATGCTCTGCTATCTTCTGTATTTTCATATTGTTTTTGTTTCTTGGAAATAGTGTGCAGTTCGTGCAGCCACAGAAGGCAGAACTCTCGTTTTGGAAGGCTTGGAAAAGGCGGAGAGGAATGTTTTGCCTGTTTTGAACAACTTGCTGGAAAACAGGGAGATGCAGCTTGAAGATGGACGCTTCCTCATGTCTGCAGAGCGTTATGACAAACTTCTCAAGGTAAGAAAAGAAAAATTCAGCTGCTCTGTCTTAACTGCTGAGCTGTGGGCAGTGCCATTGTTGTGTAAGACACAACTGTAGCAGAATGAGGACACATGTGCAGGGGCCCATATCTGTGGCAAATTGCTTAAGTCAGGTCATGAGTCTGCAGTTTTATAAGATTCTTCTAATATTTGCTGGCCATTTTAGAAAACCTCCAAGATTTTTACTTTATCTTGCCAATCTAATAACTTTCTTTTTCCCTTCCTCCCTCTTTTCCTCCCTCCTCCCTCCTTTCCTTTTTTCTTTCCTGTCCCTTTCTCTTTCTTTCTCCTTTTAATTCTTCTTCCCTTTCCTTCTCCTTTCCTGTCTTCCTTTTTCCATCTCTCAACAACTATTTACTAAAAGCCTAATGGCTTTTAGACAGTGGTGGGAATACAAATCTGAAAAAAGTTCAGTTCTTGGCCTCAGGAAGCACAAAGTCCAGTAGATTTTGACAGAAATTAGTAGATATTTAAAAGATACCCTGGCCCTGCTAGAATTCCCTTTACTATACCTTAAACATGTCAGATGGGCATTCTCATACCTGATAGTTGCTTTGCACAAGCACTTGACTCTTCTGGAATGGTTTTCTCCCATATATCTGTCCGGCTTACTTCTATACCTCCTTCAAGTCTTTGCTTAAATATTATATTATACTAGAGGCCCAGTGCATGGATTCGTGCACTGGTGGGGTCCCTCGGCCTGGCCTGTGCCCTTTTGCAATCCAGGACCCCTCAGGGGATGTCGGGGAGCCAGTTTTGGCCTGATCTCTGCAGGCCAAGCTGAGGGACCCCACTGGTGCACAAATCCGTGCACTGGGCCTCTAGTATGCATATAAGATCTTTGGTTAATCTCTTCCCTACCTCCTCCCTCCCCCCTTTCCTATGAGATCCATCAGTCTGTTCCATGTTTCCATGCCTGTCATTTCTGCTTCTGCATTGAACGTCTGTCCCTCGGTGGTCAGTGCGCATCAAAACTACCTGTCGGTCAGTTGCTTAGGGCTTTTATATATATAGATAGATTATCAATGAAGCCTGCCCTCACCCTCTATTTAAAACTATAGTGTGCCCTCTATCCCCATACTCCCTTACCCCACTCTATTTTCCCCCCATAAAGTCTAGCATTCTATGTGCTTTACTTATTATGTTTTCAGTTCAGTCTCTGCATCCCTTTATTAGATTCTGACTTTCATAAGGGGAGGGGTTTTTGTCACTGATGTTATCTCAACTCTCAGGGCAATGCCTGGCACCAGGTAGGTGCTCAATAACTGTTTGTTAGATGGATGAATAAGTGAAATAAAATCTTTAAATGCTGTGATATAAGTGTGTATAAAGAGGGCCACAAGCGATTGTGGGACTTCAAAGACTTTGGAGAAGGGGTTCATGTAGTGCTACAAAAGGACCAGAAGACAGCCCTGTTCGTTCATCTTCAGCCGTACCACACTGCAGCTCTCTGGCTAACCAGGTCCCAAGGGACTGATTGTTCTGCCTCTGCATTCTAGGATTTAGTCTCTTTCACACCTGTTCTGTGGAGATACAAATGTGTTAATCTTATTACCCCAAGTTGGTTACAGATTGCTCAAGAGCAGGATCTGTGTCTTAGGCTTCTTTTTGATCCTGCTCGCAGGGAGCTAATACAAGCCCAAAACAACCTAGGCATTAAATAATAGATGATACCAGAGGGTCTGATGGACCTGATGCCCGTGACTGCTAGGACCAGGAGCATCTCTTTCTGATTCCACTGTATGAGTCTGTTTTCTTGGAAACCTGTTTGGCAACCCTTTCAGTACTCTTGTTTCTTTGCTGTTTCCTAGCTGGTGTTTTCATTGTGCAGTATAGTTGTTTTCTTTTGTCTGTATCTAAAGATGGTACCATACTAGTATAATAATAAAGGGATACTTGATAATTTATTATTTTTATTGATTTTTTTAAAGAGAGGAACAGAGGAAGAGAGAGAGAGAGAGAGACATTGATGTAAGAGAGAAACATCAATATGCTGCCTCCTGCACGTTCCCTGATCAGGAATCAAATCCACTTTTGGTGTATGGGACGATGCTCCAACCAATTGAGCCACACCAGCCAGGGCAATACTTGAGGATTTAATCAGTAAGAAAAGTTAAAATCACTCATTCATATTGTTATAGTTAATTTATTTAAAAGAAAGACAGTTTATTATTATTATTATTTAAATATATTTTATTGATTTTTTACAGAGGAAGGGAGAGGGACAGAGAGTTAGAAACATCAATGAGCACGAAACATCAATCAGCTGCCTCCCACATGCCCCACACTGGTGGTGTGCCCGCAGCCAAGGCACATGCCCTCGACCAGAATCGAACCTGGGACCCTTGAGTCCGCAGGCCGACGCTCTGTCCACTGAGCCAAACTGGTTAGGGCTTATTTTTTAAAAATCTTGTTTTATCAATTTATATATTACAGATAAAGAATAATAATTGATGTTTATTTTAAAAGTAGATAGATATGATACAGAACATTTTCTCTTTAGAAACTTTCTAATCCCATCTAATAATAGACAAACATGGTAATTGACCGTACCTTTGCTACGCTTCCCATTGGTAAATCAGGGTGATATGCAAATTAACCGCCAACAAAGATACCAGTTAATTTTTATATATAGGTGCAATGCTGGGAGGGGAAAGGGGAAGGACGGAAGAAGCCGCCTGCTGCTGACGGTGATTGGAAACCCATCCTGACGGCTACATGCTACCACATAGATCGTGGGCCACCAGCAGCTGCCTCTTCCCTGCACCCCCATCCCCACCCCAGCCAGTGATCGGAGAAGTACCTGTATTTTTTTTTCAAAGTACCTGTATTTTTAATAATTTCTTGACATGGTAAAAGAATTTTACATTACGATCCAAGGGTGGTGGGGTGAGGAGAAGGAGCAGCAGAACAATCCACCAAACAAATGGGAGAACAGAAATGCATGGTGGAAGGGATTCGAAGGGTGGGTAGGGGCATTGCCCGACTTAAATGCAATTGGTTTGTTACTGAGTACTATTCATGGGAAGACAGCATCCTGACTCCTTCTCTATACAGCATATTGGGAGTAAAAATGATGCATCCAGGTGGAAATATGATTAGGGATTGGAAGACAGACAGGGAAGAAGAAGTCAGAAATAAACACTGAGAGAGTCACTGGCTGGCTGGCTGCAAATACTGACTCTCCAGTAGTGATAGAATAAAAAAGTGGGAGATATCTCTGGAAGATTCAAGAGATAGGGGGCAACTCTTGTATGGTTTTGACTTGCCCAGCAGATTTCCACACACACATGTGTACATGCCTATGCTTGCATGCACACACATATACACATAACTGACTGCCCTCCCTGGAAGCACAGAAGAAGAAGAAGCCACCAGAAGAAGAAGCCGCCCACCTTTGGTCCAGGTGCCAGTGCCTGAGGCTGGCTACAGCCCAGGAGATCGACAAGCCACCCGCCCGAGGTCCCAAGCTGCAGCCACCCGGAGAAGCTGCCAGCCCTGTGGTCCAGGGTGCCAGCGCCTGTGGCCAGGGAAATAGGTTCCCTCTTCTCCTACTGCAGTCATTACTTCAATATCCCCCTTCTGAATTTCTCTCCTGTGCTTTCATCGGCATAATATAACACATTCTGACAAGACCACCGCCACAACCGATGTGGTCAGTGTTGTGCCGATAAATGTTTAATAACTGAGGGACTCCTTCCCCGCCCCCCCCGCCCCCGAGTGCACAAATTTTTGTGCATCGGGCTACTAGTTACAAAATAATTATTATTTATCTCTATATAGTTATTTGCCACTTTTAGTAAATTACATCGGGGCCTTGACTTATGAGTTTAATTCGTTCTGTGACGGAGCTCATAACTCAAGTTACTCGTATGTCAAATCAATAGTGAACAAGTGAGACACGTGATGCTGGGCTGATGTTGTGGCGTTCACTGTGATGTTCGCTGCGCCAACTAGTGGTGGGGTATCTGAAGCTGGCTCATAACCCGAATTTTAGCTCGCAACTCAAAGCAAAATATTGGCCGAGAGACGGCTCGTATCTCGAAAAACTCGTTAGTCGGGACACTCGTAAGTCAAGGCCTCACTGTATTTGAAAAAGAATACTTAGATTATTGAATAATTCTTTTAAGTATATGAGTTACTTCATAATAAGAACTTCAATATATTATTTGTTCATGTAGTAGAATTCTGTGCAAAGTTATTGAACATATTACTTTGGATAGGAATTTGGGGTATGGGGTCAAGCAGGTTTTAGTTTACAAGGAGTGCTTATTATTATTAAATGAGAAGGATGTACTACATTTTTTCCAATGTAATCATCAGTATAAATACATAATTTTTATTGGTAAGTATAATTTCTGTATTCATAGAATCTATCTCATGGGAACCTCACAGAATATAGGCAAGATCTTTTCACAAAACACCACCACGTTAAAAGGATTTGAACACCATAACTGAAGTCCCATGTATTTCTAGCTAGATTCAATATACTAAATTAGAATACCTCAAAATGTTAATGATAGAGGTGATTATAGTAGAATGTTATTGTGGAAACAGATACAGTTGGCTTATATAAATTTTGTTTATGTTCCGATTATAAGTTTCAGATAAGTGGAAAATAGAAATATTTAGCTCTCTGAAAATTATACTCTTGGTTTCTCAGACAGGGTTATATCCAGATTCTTGTTTTTGAGTGCATATGACATAGTGTTAGTGTTAGTCCTATTAATTAAATGTAGGGTCATGGTTTTGGTAATGCTAGAAACAATTGTTCATTATGTTTTTTATTTTTTAAAAATATATATTTTATTGATTTTTCACAGAGAGGAAGGGAGAAGGATAGAGAGTTAGAAACATCGATGAGAGAGAAACATCGATCAGCTGCCTCCTGCACACCCCCTACTGGGGATGTGCCTGCAACCAAGGTACATGCCCTTGACTGGAATCAGACAAGGTACATGCCCTTCAGTCTGCAGGCCGACGCTCTATCCACTGAGCCAAACCAGTTAGGGCTCATTATGTTTTTTAATTATTTCATGCAGTCAATCAACAGACATTTGTCCTGCTATGTGCTAGAGGTAATAAGTCCTTGGATCCAGCAAGAGAAAATCTTGTACAGAAGTCATTGCACAAATGTATGATGATAGATGCTTGCATAGGACATAGTGGAGGGGTACGAAAGTGGTTCTGATGGAAGGAGGGGATGAGAAAGGGTCCCATTTTAAAGAAGATATTTTTTGTGCTGAGCTTTG